TTCATATGCCTCGAGAAATAGAAATTTTTTTTTAATAGACAGATTCGATGAGAAAGGAATTAATTCAACAAAAGCAAGGGACTGCATTGCCCTAAGGCAAGTTGAACAGCATCGACTTGTCCATTTCCATAACTGACACTAGGATTGGTCTTGCGCTTCGAAGGCAAGCGCTTAAAACTCCTCACCTCGAATGGGCACATGTTTGCGCACGAATAAGCTTTAGAAGCGACAAATGCCAGGAATGAAAGCGGAAAGACTGATAGGAGAGAGATCAATGCCCTTAACTTAACAAACACGGAATTTCTTGGCGACTTCCAAGTCGCCGATATCTGAGACCAGTGACTTCGGCATCGAGACACTGACTCCCAGATCAGCTAACACTGTTTGTTTCGCAGGATGACCCTTATCCCCAATGACAATATCGTCACCGAGAAGAGCGTAGTCTAGAAAACGACGACCGGGATATACATCCTCAGCTGCACACCACACAAGAAAATGGTGACAGAGAGAAAACAAAGGCCAAGACGAGAGGTAGCCCAACGGCTGCCCGCTATTAAAGCACACAGTCTTGGTTCCTTTTCTTGAGTCACTAGGAGCTTAAAACATCTTTCTACCAAGCCCACTAAAGACCCAAGCTAAAGAGACTTCGCGACCGAACAAGCTCTTGCTTGACCACCGTCTCCTGAAATGGCAGCGGAAACCTATCGGTCGCCGCCGAAAAAGAAAAAGAGAAAAGGGGTCCAACCGCGCGGATAACGCCGGCGAGCCGAGGGGGCGACGCTTTGTTAAATGTCCCGATCAGTGCCGTAATTTCGCCGCCAGAACCCCCATACACCATCATGAGCCCGACCTTACTTATTAGAGCCTTAAAGGCTTCAGTATAAGCCGAAGATATCGCAGTTTCCCTGCTCCCTCGGCTTGAAGCCTAACCGTCCCAAGGGCGAACTGAATCAGAAATCAGTGACCCAAGTTTAGATCACCTGATTTAAACTACCTAGCGACCGACCACAAGCTAAGCCACCGGACGGGTGCAGCTTGAGGAAAACCTCGTCTACAGCAAGCGTGTCAAGAAAGCCACCGCTTTCTTCTCGTCACTTGCGGTTTCGGGTGGCTCAACACCCTACCGCCATAAATAGTGTATTGGACTTACTTTTGGTTCGAAACGCCGAAAAGGGGATAGACATAGAGGAAAGGAGCAACATTCCGCCAAAGCCGGCTTGAAACCACCTCGGTACTTAGCAGCACTCGTTTTCGGAACCTTGTACCCGGACCCATGGACGATCAAATTATGACAGCCACAAGAACCGCCAGAAGCCGCGATGCAAGAGCTCCCATAGGCACGGTGAAGGGGATCCGGCGCTGCAGCGCCAGGCCACACCTTCAAGGACACCGCGCCAGTGACCAAAGACGGTAACCACTGAACCCCATATCATGGGAAATCCCGACATGATCCAATGCGGATTACCGACAAAATAGAGTACGAAAAGGCGGTTAAGTGAAACCGAAGACAGCTTCCGCCGTCCATTCTTTTGAGAAGGATCCAACAAGTAGAGCATATTTTTAGGTCATTCGCTTGGCAACAACACAGCTTCGCCCAAGCGAGAAGACCGAGAGATAGAATCCACAGCTATCAGCCGCGATCACCGTACCATACGAATGAGCCGCGATGAAACGCGCGGAATAACCTACGGTAAAGCCTCCCTCTGTTAGGGATTATCGGATGCGTCAAAGCATATGCTTATCAAAGCTGCCCGCCCGCTACTCGCATTAGGTACCCCGCAACATTATTATTAATATAACGCGGTGAAGAAAGCCATCCGCTTCTCCGTGACATCTCCTAATCCACTTATTGCCACAATGTTATCCAATACAATACTCCTTCGTGAGGCAACCACGAAGGCACAGACTGACCTTGTTTAGAAGCCTAACTATGCACGCGCTTGCTTTCCAAGGCACGCCGCCACGGAGCGCGAGCCCAAGCCTTCCTCGATTAGTACTAATAGAAGAAATAAAGCCTCAAAAGTTTGTCATGATTAACTCTTCTCACTCTTTGTTACACCAATGAATGAAGAGGTCACTTATGGACTTCGGGTCTCGCCTGTATTTCGGTTGTATTACCTAACCAAGAGGCGGAAGGGAATGATTTTCACTGCTATAGGTAGCAAACCAAGGCGGCTGGGGTCTCATAGCAAACCAGGTCGTTCATCTCGCTTGGGTTTAGTGTTAAGTGTCTGGGTGTTCGACCACGTTATCCTGCCGAGGAATGCAGAATAAATCAATGCTGCAAAACTTCAATCTTTGAGATTCGAAGGGAAGTGAAATAGCAATTGGTAAGATCAATCGGCCAAAATAACCATGATGCGGCTACGATTTCTAAGTTTCTTCCTCTTGACGAATCTGCCTAACCTGTCATAGCAGACTCGTTTTCAGCCGGCTTTCCCTGATCAAACTAGAGGTAACAAGCGACCATGAATAGCACTAAATGGGGCAGCCGCCGAACCACCAGCTACGCTAAGCATGTTGAAATGGATGCATAAGGATGTTGTGCTCGCCTGGATACAAAATGATAGTTTAAAGTACAAGATATTACTAAATTACATTACTAAAGATACCATCAGAGAACTTCCTTGAACCAATAGGAGATCAAGAAAACAGCCAGTAGCTAGCGCTACAGAGCGGAATATGGCAACAGTAATCACGTAACGCATACCCAGAACGCGAAACTAGTTCCACTCACCGACCCATGTAACAAGCTACACCAAGCTAAGAAGTGTTTAGACAATTAGCTCATAAGGACCGCCATTGTATAACCACTCATCAACAGATGCTCCTTGCCCATATCGGCGTTAAAAATAGCAAACCATCAGCTTGCAGAAAGTAGAATAAGGCACAGAGAGAATATTGTTTCCATAAAGTAGAAGACCAGAAACAGGTTAACGAATATTAAATATACATGTAGGAGCAGCAATTGAATGGCGATAATAAATACAGAAGTTGTCCGGTCAATATGAGTAGCGGGATCATCAAAACACGACATCCAATGTAATAGACGGTTTTTCAGTGCTGATATTCCTGTTGCCAGAAGCGAGCCCATAGGCTTGTACTTTCGCGTCGTCTTTAAAATTGCAGTCATGGTAAGCATCGTCGCTTTATTCAATTTTCAAGGACTCCCAAGCCACGTATATTAACTAGAAGAAGAGAAAATAGATGGCCTTTAAAGCATCTATCGGTCGCTGACTTTAGATCAAAGAGTACGACTCTTAGAAACCGTCAAACGCGTCTATTCGCGCGAGTTCTGATGATGTACCATCAGTTAGAGAACCGAGATAGCTATCTCCATCAACCACTTGTGTACGGAGCCAACAATCCTTTGTTGATGTAATTTCCTATAGGCAAATCTTCTCTTACCAGCTCCCTCAACCACGGCGGATAAGCCTGCCAAATAACACCTAACGTTGAAGCTGAACTAATGGTCGCAACACAGGGCTCACCCACTTTATCAAACCACTCGTTATACGTAATTGCGTCCATTTTGTGTATATCTGCATCCAGAGCAAACGTCGACCTCTGTCTCTCCACAAACAGCGCACTGGAGAAGAACCCTTCGTCTACTGTACATCATCTCGAAGCATAGCTACGTAAGCCCAACTAATTCATAGGTCGGAGCGCTAGAAACCAGATTCATTACCGTTCCCGTACTGTATTAGGTCATAGCTGGAAACGGGAATTCAGCGAAACAGGCCTTCCAGCGTTTGTTCCCACGTAAGTACCTTGGAGAAATGTGTATGCCTAGAAACCCCAGGATATACTCATCATCAGCTCACGACCGAAGTTTTTAAGATTCAGTCATGACTTCATGAATCGGATGTTGATCTTTTGGGATGAGACATTACTCCTCAGAAGGTGCCACCAATAGCTTGGCCAACTGAAATGACCTTAGCCAGACTTAAACCATTGAGAGAGACAAATTGAACCAACATTCGGCCTTCTCATTCCTACTATAAATACTTTCTATGGCAAAGAAGGTATGATAGTGGATACCTTCCGATAAGTGAGACTGGAATGGCCAACAGGCGCGTTGACGGCATCACACCATAGCTTTTGTAGTGATGATCCACAACTGCTTAGAGAAAGAGCAGTGAATAAACAAACCAGCTTTGCGACCGCTTCTGCCAGCTACCTTCTTTGCTATGATAAGAATGTCTTGCGATCGCAAATCTCCTTTGGTGTGACCGTCGAGCTACCAAAAGGTCGCTCTTATGAAGCAAAACCACCCCCCCCCCCCCCCCCCCCCCCCCCCCCCCCCCCCCCCCTAACACCAATATGTACCGGCACCTCAAAACGCGGCCATGACGGACTGGACTAAGCGCAATAGAACATTAAATAAACCTTTGTCGCAAGGAGTTATCTATTTCTATATATTTTTTACAGTCACTCTCCAGAATAAGGAGATGGGCGTGTACCGACATGTTTGGGCCCACCGTATCCCATTTCATGAACTATAGTCTTCACGCGCAACTCTCTCCTAATAGAGAGAGGAGAACTCTTGTTCTCCATGGGGGCGTCCGCCGTTACTAGCCAGGATGATTGCTATTACCCACAAGGATTAGGTCGCAACCCGAGGTGGCAACACCATATCAATCTAACGATCAACCGGTGAAGCTGCCTCTAGACACAACAGAGTTAACTAAGTCTAACGTATTAATATATTAATCTATATTACGCTCAGCTGTGTGAGAGGAGGTAACCCTTCTGCCACCCCTGCGGCTTGAGCCGCTCAGTAGGCTGCCGAAAGTCAAGAAAGGAATCGCGACTTCTTTAGGTTTGGTACCAGGCGGTGTGCCGATGGTTCTTGTATTGCTCGCCTTCCCGCTAGGAGAAAAAAGAAAGATAAACCTATAAGAGAGAGAGAGAAAAGACCTGGATAAAGAAGAAAAACGTTCGTTACAAGCTCGATATGAGGCCTTTCCGCTCGTTTGAGAGTTCTCGCATGACTAAGCATGACGATTAGGGGTTCCCAGTTTGCCCAGTCGGGTCTCTGGCGGGGTCGTTGCCTCACGCGGTTCAACGCTTGGGTGATATACGTCTTCTTTGTCTGGTATGGGCATAGTTTGCCTAAGGGGATTGAGTAATGGTCGTGAAATCCGTTGGTTGGCGTGAAGCTCTTCCTACGGTTCTTTTCGATTGACTAGCTCTTAAGCGTATCAGTAAGTCGACTAAGTCTGACTGTTAAGGGTAGTAGTAAGCAACTACCTCTTAAGTCCTGCTTATAGAGCTTGAGGGTATATGATTTCCGCTTAAGCAACTAAACAACCCCGCGCGTCGCGCACGTGTTCTCACCCCGCCCGGCTTACTCCCCCCTCATGTTGTTGACATGGGTGAAGTACTCTCCTTGGCCTTAGGTTAGTGCTACCTTTGTGTGTAGGTGTGGTTAGGTTCCGGTATTGGTGTGGTAGTCTATTCCTGATGCAGAGTGTGGGTAGGTCGAGCTAGTAGTCTTTCCTCGGGTTATTCGTAACTACGTAATTGGTCTTACGCCGACGAAAGCGATGAGCTTGGATGGCTCCATACCGTTCCCATGTATTTCTAACCGTTGGTCTTCCTGCTAGTCGAATAGTTGTGACTCTGCATTTGCTTCGGATTACTTCCATCACAAGGAAGGGTTGATAACGTGACGCCCCTATACGTACGTTATCCCTACAGGGTCTCACTTCCTTTTACTCCTTTGAAAAGCATACTGAACAGATACACACACTATATACTCTAAAAGAAAAGATGACAATCTGACTATAGCGGATTGCTAAAATAGAGTACTGCTAATGCGAATAACGCGCAAACAAGGGGCTTCGCCGCCTCTTTAAACCATTAAAGCTAGTCCCTAGGGCAGTACTTAAAGCATCAAAGGAACTCCTAAAGAAGAGGTCTTCTTTTAACAAGGTCTTGCCTTGGCTTACGGTGCCTGCTACTGCATGACCTCCATTAGGGCAGGTTGCAGATACACTTAAGCAAACAAAGTGGAAGAGTGTTTTATTTTAACCAATGTTCTTTCTTCAGAACCTTGGCTTACAGCGCTTGCTTCTGCATTAACTCCCTTAGGGCAGATTGCAGATACACTTTAGGAGGTATGAAAAATAAATAACAATTTTTATTCTACTGTTCCCCCCTATATTTCGTAAGGCGCCGGGGGGGCAGGGGAGGCTTTTTTCTCAATCGGCGAAGCCTCAAACCCATTGAAGTCGCTACGAATAGAGCTCCCCGAAAGGGGAATCTCTACTCGTAGCTTCACGTGAATGCTCCTAAATAGAGAGACCGAACCAGGCGACAAAAAAGGCTGAAGGAAGTTCTCTTTCCATTCCAACAAAACTAATAGAAGCAGGAGAGGACAAAACAGAGACAGAGGAACCAAGAAACTATGTCCAAACCAACGAGTCCTTGCGTTGACTCTCAAGAATGTATCGGGAGTTGGGGGTTAGCCGTATCATGAGAGTGATAGCTGGGTTTTTCACGGAGTTTCTTCGTACGATTGAAAAGAGAGTGCTCTAGGTCGGAGAAACCAAGAATCATCTTGTTCTGTTCACCAGTCTGTCCCCAACCTCTTTCAAGCAGCTACCTACCGTGATCTGGTCTTGGGACAGCACTGGCACCTCCGTTTGCTGGATCTTCTAGGCACTCTAAAGCGCTTTTCCACGAGAGAAAGATTGACTTTGAGTTATAGACGGATAAGATCCTTTAGAGGCGCTGTTAAGCCCTCAATAAAACAAATGGGATTTTGAGGAGGGCTGAACGTGATGTACTGAAGGTTCGCTTCGCTGATCGGCGCCAGTCTTTCCTGCTTTGAATTTTCCAGGTCGAGAAGGGTCCTTTCCTTCTACTCACTTCACCGATTCGCCAATGATTGGATCACTCAAACCCAAAGACCAATTCCTTCCTTTGAGGTGGTCTAGGTGGCAGATTGGGGATACTATGCGCTTCTTTTTAGATTGAGGCGATCAGACGATTGAAGCAAAAGAACCCATGTGTCTCGGATGAAGTCTACCCTCTTAATGTCACGAAAAAAAGAATGAAAGACAACTCAAAGTCAGGAAAGGCGCCGTCACCCTGTCCTTCCTATCTCGCTCGTACCTTCAATCCAAATAATCGAATTCTTTATATATTAAAATTTTAATATATAAATATGGCTGGCAGGTGCGGTAGACCGAACACCTTCTGAATCAGCGTGGAGGTGACATAAAGCTCCTTGCCCATTGAGTGAAAGCATTCATCCCAGTAAGGGAGATTCGACGACCTCACTACCTGCGGGAACTTTCGCCAGCCCCAGGCGGCTACTGATCTTTCGGAGGCCTAAGAGTGGGCTCCATTACTTTTCGCAATCTTCGGCTTGCCTTTATGGTTTGCTTGAACGCAAGAACAATTGATAAGTGAGCAATGGAAGTCTTTTCTCTGACGTCGCGTGTCGTTAGCCTGTCTAACCAAGAACAGGCCCATCACCAAAGTCGAACATATACCACATCAACTATCTTTCTTACTCCACGAAGCTCAATAGCTATGGCGTTCGTAAACAATCATACGCACGGAATAGGCGACCATACTTATTGAAACAATGTAGTTGGTCTTTCCTATCCGGCCTGAAACAAAGAGCAGGCGAATCTATAAAAGCTTACAATGGTAAAGAGAAATCCATTTTCGCGAGAGTATACCATTCTAGATACTTGCAACAAGAGCTAAGCCAATGCTTAAGCTCCCAGCTTTATACTATAGTCTGAGAACATCTTCGTCGTCTTTCTACTGAAGATCATTAGCCATTTTTTTTATATGATCCCAATCAGGAGCGCAAGACTCGATGAGCATCCACCAACCCATCCCTATATGATAACAAGACACAGTAAATCATATGGAAATCCTAGCCAACATTCGAAGGGAAGTGGAACTATACCCCCGGGACTATAGGCAACCAAAATGTGCCGAAACCGATTTAGATCAGATGGCTTGAACTCATAACGCTCATCCACTGGGCGGCCTCCTATTTCCCACCACCGTTGTGGAGGGGGGAGTTAGAGATTGATTAGATATATTCCCGTCTTTGAGTTGATAACGGACAACTTTCCCAATCAAAACAAAATATCGTAGATGATCACTGAACCCGCCAACTATAGATGATTGAACCCGAATGCAGTGGGACTTGTCACCTGCGCCAGGTCTACGGCCGTAGATTAGCTTTCGGATCTAGACATCATTGAACAGGCGGACAAGAGGGCCATGATTGACTCAGCCTTCCGAGGACACGGATAAGGTGAGCTTGAGTCGTTACCCGGCAAGAAGTACGGGTAAGACGTAAACCAAACTGCGACGCTCCATACGGGTATAACTATATTAACTATAGTTGTAGCTTTCTTCATAAGTAAGGAAGAGTCTTCTTCTGTCTGGAAAGTGCTTTTCTCAATCAATCATAAGGCCTCAACTAGATAAATTCACATATTTTACACAATTCTTTTGGTTATCCATCCTCCTCTTTACCTTTTATATTGCTATATGCAATGATGGGGATGGAGTACTTGGTATCAGCAGAATTCTCAAACTCCGAAACCAACTTCTTTCGCACCGGGAGAACAAGATTCGGAGTAAGGACCCTAAGACTTTGGAAGATCTCTCGAAAAAAAGTTTTCACACAGGTCTCTCCTATATGTACTCCAGTTTATTCGAAGTATCCCAATGGTGTAAGACCGTCGACTTCTTGGGAAAAAGGGGGAAAATCACTTTGATCTATTCTTTCGGAGAAATAAGTGGCTCACGAGAAATAGAGAGAAAGATTCTCTATTTGATCTCGAAGTCATCATATCAAACTTATTCCAGTCGGATCACTTGTGGAAATGAAATCATGCTCATCCATCTTCTACACGGACAAGGAAGCATCTAAACAAGTCAATTCGGTAGAAGAAGTCGGAAGAGGAGGCTCTGTTTCAGCCATGGAGCAGGAGAAGGGGAGTGTGGTGGGTGGGCCCCCTTCACTTGTGGACTTTTACTGTTGTTTGATATGAAAATCTCCTTTTTCATTTTGGCATGGTACTGATGATTTAATGTGCGATCAATGTTCATAGTGATGATAGACGACCGTAAGCCATTCTTCCGGTGAAGGAAGCGCTTACGAAAAGTCAACCTAAGCGGTTACCTTTGGAAACGCGCTAAAAGGCAGGCCTATAGGTTCGTCTTTCTAATAGAAGAAGAGTTTGTATGTTTTATTTATATACAAAAATGAATAGAATGAGCAAGATCGTCTTCAGCATGAAAAGAAGAAACTTTGTTCCGAAGGCCTAGCGAGTTAAGGCGAATTCCTTTTTTGATGGTCAAAGACGTCCTTTTCTTTCCCCGGACCGATGCTCGGTTGTTCAGTACTGCTAACTATTATAGGTATAGGAGGATGCCGTCCCCCCTTCCTACCAGTAGCTTCGTTGTTTAATATCGTGCAAGTGAGGTTGTGGTTGTATTGGCTGCAGCGCGAACGTAGGCGCTGTAGGTGTGTTGACCATGCACTCTCGCGTCGTGTAATGTCGTATGTATGATAGAGGTGGTGTGGTGATTGATCTCAATGCTAATCTAATGGTTATCCCCAAGGTTCAACGAATGAATGAAGCGTTGATCGTACCCGGATAGAGATGATGGTCTTCCTCTGATGTCTCCAAGCCGGCCATACATAATAGAATAGATAGGCGAAGCAGCCAATAGCAGTCTGTTTTCGCCTATCGATAGATAGCTGGTTGCTTCTAAGCTCAAACCATTTGAAAGTGCATTTTTTCTTGTTCGTCGATAGAGTGGTCTTATCCGCCCCTCTAAAATAAAGAGATAACTGGAAGAGAGAAGGAAAAAAAGCAAATAAAGGATTTACAAACATAATGGGAGAAGAAGGTTGACTGCATCTTCAACTAGAAAAGAGAATCTAACCCAAGCGGTCTAACCCCCGGGGCACCGAAGCTAGACGCGGCAAGCGAGATAAAGAAAGCAGCTGGACTGCCTTGCCGCGGGATAGTCTTTCTCCAATGATAGACTGTTTTTGGGCAAGACAAAAGACAGGAACTCGCCCTTTGACACCAAGCCAAGGGATAAGAGCAGATTGCTTTGCTGGCGATGACTTGGTGAGAAATTAAGGGAATCCATGAGAGAAGGTTCGAGAACCTATAGACTCTAAAGAAACACGACTTCGTTCCGACCGAATATAGCCCTTTAAGCGAGAGGGCCAAGGTTCTTTGTTGCGTGTTGCGTAACAAGGGCAAGATGAAAGCGGGGGGCGGGATCAAGCTTTCAAGGAATGGACGGGCGTAGGCTTTCTAGTGAACGCAGGCCCTGACTGAATCAATGACCGCATGAGCGCGAGAGAAAGATTCCGACTTATTTATAAGTTGCGAAGAAAGATCGAAGACGCAGATTTTCTGACGCAGTGCGGGCACTGGATGGAAAAGACAAGATAAGGGAAGAAGCAAGCGGGAAAGGCATACCTCAAGGAGCACCAATCTCCACGGCGAACATCTATCTGCACGAAGCCGACCTATGGATAGAAAGAAAGATACAGGAAAGGAAAATGAAATAGGGTTAGTTTGAGATACGCGGACGGGAGTACGCAGCCGAACAACTGCAGGGGCTTCCAGCAGTGATAGCTAAACTAACCAGATGGGCCGCCTAAAACCTGGAGCAACCATTTCAATCGGAAATCAACGTCGGATCCCGGCTATCTGAAAAAGGCATCCTGAAACGGAGGTATCACGAAATGCAAGAAGGGGCGAACCAAGCGCTTGCGCGAAGAAGCGAATCATATCAGAATGGAGACAAGAAAGGAGGAGAGGCGAAAGAGAGATTTTCGAGGCGCATCGCACTGCGCAGCATAAACAATTGATCGCTGGACAGGATGAGCAACCCTTCTCTGGAAAGGAATAGTGAAAAGCCATGTAACTTGGAACGAACAGTCAGCTTACTTACTTTTTTTTAGTAAGACCCTTGACTTTGGTAAGCTAAATGAGATTATATTATATAGGCATGGTTGCAACCAAAACAAGAGTTAGCTTCGTCATGTTCTTCGCCTGAACATACATATAGAAGAAGCCACCTCCTCCGGTCGCCTCTGTACCAGTAGTTGAGTGGCTTGCTACTTTCAATCAGATAAGGAAGATTGAGCAAGTCAAGGAGAAAGAAGTTGTCCCCTTTTCTCTGGTAACCCGCGCCGGTCATATAGAGCGCTCCGCCCGCACACGCATATGTAGAAAAAGCCCTTGATCCGGAAGAACAACCGTTTGACTTTGGCACATGAGGTGGCGGGTTTGCTAGGTAACATAATGGAAATGTATCGGACTGCAAATCCTGGAATGACGGTTCGACCCCGTCCTTGGCCTGCGGGAGTGGCGAAGCACACAGAACTTTTCTCAGTAAAATGAAATGGCGGGGGCTTTTTTATAAAGATACAATAAAATATTCTGGAACTTCAAAGAAATGCAAGATTCGAAGGAGCTGAAAAACTCCCCTATCTCTTAGGTAGCGTACTTGAGTAGTGACCCCTCGGGGGCCCGGGTTGCTTTGGCGCGCTAGCTAGCGGGGAAGAAGTCCCTTAAGAAGCGGATTGCCCAATAGCAAAGATCGGACATTTCATAAGTCCATTCCAGGAGAAGGAACACACATCAGTCGGAACTAGATCGCCAACGTCAAGTGAGTCTTGGCGACAAACGCATTAGATGGGTGAAGACAATGCAGAGTAGTAGACCTCAAGGAGCAGCATCCACTGCAACCAATAAAGCCTCACTCAGCGGCGAAGCTATGCTGAATCGCCTAACGAAGTCGAGCCACTATGGATAGAAAGAAAGATACAGGAAAGGAAAATGAATAGGGTTAGTTTGAGATACGGGCGGCGGGAGTACGCAGCCGAACAACTGCAGGGGCTTCAGCAGTGATAGCTAAACTAACCAGATGGGCCGCCTAAAACCGTGAGCAACATTTCAATCGAAATCAACGTCGGATCCCGGCTATCTGAAAAAGGCATCCTGAAACCGGAGGATCACGAAATGCAAGAAGGGGCGAACCAACGCGCTTGCGCGAAGAAGCGAATCAATCAGAATGGAGACAAGAAAGGAGGAGAGGCGAAAGAGAGATTTTCGACGGCATCGCACTGCCGCATAAACAATTGATCCGCTGGACAGGATGAGCAACCCTTCTCTGGAAAGGAATAGTGAAAAGCATGTAACTTGGAACGGAACAGTCAGCTTACTTACTTTTTTTAGTAAGACCACTTGACTTTGGTAAGCTAAATGAGATTATATTATATAGGCATGGTTGCAACCAAAACAAGAGTTAGCTTCGTCATGTCTTCGCCTGAACATACATATAGAAGAAGCCACCTCCCTCCGGTCGCTCTTGTACCAGTAGTTGAGTGGCTTGCTACTTTCAATCAGATAAGGAAGATTGAGCAAGTCAAGGGAGAAAGAAGTTGTCCCCTTTTCTCTGGTAACCCGCCGCCGGTCATATAGAGCGCTCCCGCCACACCGCATATGTAGAAAAAGCCCTTGATCCGGAAGAACAACCGTTTTGACTTTGGCACATGAGGTGGCGGGTTTGGCTAGGTAACATAATGGAAATGTATCGGACTGCAAATCCTGGAATGACGGTTCGACCCCGTCCTTGGCTCGGGGAGTGGCGAGCAGACACAGAACTTTTCTCAGTAAAATGAAATGGCGGGCTTTTTTATAAAGATACATAAAATATTCTGGAACTTCAAAAGAAATGCAAGATTCGAAGGAGCTGAAAAACTCCCCTATCTCTTAGGTAGCGTACTTGAGTAGTGACCCCTCCGGGGGCCCCGGGTTGCTTTGGCGCCACTAGCTAGCGGGGAAGAAGTCCCTTAAGAAGGCGGATTGCCCAATAGCAAAGATCGGACATTTCATAAGTCCCATTCCCAGGAGAAGAACACACATCAGTCGAACTAGATCGCCCAACGTCAAGTGAGTCTTGGCGACAAACGCATTAGATGGGTGAAGACAATGCAGAGTAGTACCGTCCACAGTCCAGAAGACTACGAGATCCACTAAAAATAAGTCGAGTATAGACTTTGTATTATATTTGTCAAAAAAGTCTTCACATATGAGTGAGAAAGCGCTTCCCTCAGAGCAAACGATTTCATGGGAGGGGAAGGATTTTCGCTATCAATCTTTCAGTTTTTATCTGGATAGCCAGGCGTCGATAGCATTAGTATGTCGTCTGCGTATAACGCGTCTACGCTGGAATTGTAGCGCCGAGATGGTCTCCGTCTTCTCCGCGCCCGTGTTCACCGCTGGGAAATTTCATTTATTTACCTTATTCAAAAAAAGTGAAAAAAAGAATGGCAAGGGCCCGTGCTGCATTCAGAA